CGTTTCACCTTCATCTTTGGCTGGCATCTTCAGAGGTCTGTTGGAAGTTTTAAACAGACAAGGGTTCTTTCTCCCACCCTGGACATTTCACAGATATATATATACACTCGACTTGCCTCACTTCCAACAGACCTCTGAAGGTGCCAGCCACAGACGCAGGCAAAACGTCAGGAGAGAATGCTACTGGGACATGGCCATATAGCCCAAAAAACTCACAGCAGCCCATGTTTATGCTTCTTTACTACTGAATCTTGGAGTGTGGTATAGCTCATCTCTTCCCTGAAGCCGTTCTTAAGAATACTTTCAGACAGGGCTATTATAGTGCTACCACTTGAAAGGCATGATGCATTTTCCTCATTTAATGACTGTTGTGTGGAAAGAACAAATGATAGAAGTGGTGGAAAAAGCACAGGGGAGTTGCCAATAGGACACAATGCCACCTGGAATACCATAATCCCTGATAAAATTATATGAGGTAGTACCTGTCTGCAAGTTTGCAGATCTATGGTCATTCAGTATCATATGTAAACAGGCCTGCTACTTAGGTGTGTTCCGAATATGATGGTATTGGAAGTATATTTTAGATGTTTCCCAGATTTTGGAATACTTGCAAGTACAGAATGAGACCTTGGAGATGGGACCCTACTCTAAACAAGAAGTACATTTACTGTATGTTTCATAGACCTTCCAGTTTTTATAATTACACCTTTGTTTTAAAAAGAAGTACACGGGATAATTAAAGGAGAAATGACTTAAGACAGATCTAGTGTTCCTTATCCAAAATACTTGGGACTAGAAATGATCTGCATTTCCAATCTCTTTGGATTTTGGAATTCTTTGGTATCTTGGATATGGGGCCCAAGTCTAAATAGGAAATTAATGTTTGCTTATATGTACACCTTATATGTACAGCCGGAAATAATTTTAAAACAATATTTGAATAATTCCATGCATTGAAGCAAGGTTTGTGTACATTGAACTATCAAAAAGGAAAGGTGTCACTATCTCAGCCACCTGTGTGGTTAGTTTTGGAATATTTTGGATTTTGAAATTCCAAATTAAGGGATGCTCAACCTGCATAAACCATTCTCATTTGAGTTCAAAATCAAATCAAGTTTGGGTTCAGTTAATGCTAGGATGACATACCACATAGAAATAGTAAGTATCTCCAGACAGAGCTAGGCAGAAATCCTGTCTGAAAGCCTGGAGAACCACTTGTCCAATCCGAAGTCCCCTTGCAACCAAATTTTCTGACTCAATGCAAGACAATTGCTTTGAATTTCCAGTCACTTTCCAAAGGCTTTTGTAGTAGAAAGGCAAAGACTACCTTTCCTTCCAATCAGCGAGGTAAAAAACAGATCTTTCCTTTAAGAGAACGTGTCTCTGCTGAAGATGTGCATAAATGCTGGTGACTTCCATTTGTCTTCGACCAATAGAGGACCATTTGCGATGCTCTTGCTGTTCAGGTGCTACCTTCAGGCTGCATAGGAAATGCATGAGATTGATTTTTGGTTGCTTTCCTTCTAGAACCAGAGGCAGAATGGTGGCCTTCTATTGCCATTCCAGATTGGGCCATTTGTCACGTGGGTTGTTGCGGCCTCATGACTCCTTCTGGTCCCCGGGGTCACTATGGCAACAGCTGTGCAAGCCGCCATCCTTTTTTGTGGCCCTGTTTTTGCCTCTTGTCTGAAACCGGGAGCTGGCAAAGATAGCAGGTACCAAGATTAGAAGAAAGTAATGTACTGGGATGGTTAATGGAGGGGTGGTGCTTAGGGAACCAAATGACACATAATTCCGTAATCTTCTCTGTTTTCATTTTTATCGGAAGGCAAAGATTGCAACCAGAGCAGTGATGCTGGGAAGGAATAGAATTTAATCCACCTCCAATACTCTGCTGTGTTCAAAATCTCCCCTTGAAAACATCATCCCCTTATTTCTTCCAGGGCACAGTCGGTGGGAGTCTTGCCCCACCTAAAGCAAAAAATCTGGTTGCCATGGTGAAAATGGCACATGGATGGATTCCTTCCGGCCTCAAAGAGGAAAAAAGCCTAAGCTAAACTTAAATAGCATCTCTGGATAGTGTAGTGTATCTGATATTATCTTTTGCTAGGTTTAACTTCTGTAGAATGTATTTTGGTTTGTTTGTTGGTTGGTTTGTTTTTTGTTCAAGGCCTTAAATTTTCTGAAATATGTTTACCACATTTATTTGGAACTATCTTGGGGACCAATATGCCCAGGTTACCTGAGAAAGGTACTGTTTGTTTTGGGAAGTTTGGTAATATCTCTGGACACAGGGTGAAGTTTCCCCCAAACATCTCCAGTATGTTCCCATGGTCATGGGGAGTCTGTGCGCCAAGTTTGGTCAGGTCTGTCATTCATGGGGGCCTCAGTGGGCTGTGGAAGGCGAATTGGATGAAGGAATTGCATATCCCATTGTCTGCAGTCCATCCTCCCCCAAACCGCACCAGAACGTATAGTGGTCCGTAGGGGGTCTGTGTGCCAAATTGGGTCCAGGTCCGTCATTCATTGGGGGGGGGGGGTGCAGTGATCTCTGGAACTGAGTGAAGGTACAGCAAATCCCATCATCCATGGCAAGTGTGGTCCAGATCCATCGTTGGTTGAGTTCATAGTGCTCTCTGGATGTAGGTGAACTACAACTCCTCTAAATCATGCTGAATTCTTCCCAAACCTATTGTTCAGTTGCTGATCAATTCCTGTTTGCTGTGTGCCATAGGAATGGGTAGGAAAGGGTTAAGTGAGAGGCAGTGGGCAGGGTCATGCAAATTTGGAGAGAGAAAGGAACCCTGGGATGTCCATTCTGGAGAAAAAAAGCAGAACATCTAGGATGAAATGGTCCTCAAATGAAAGCATTCCTTGGGTAGTTGGTGTTTGGGGAGGACATTGGCAGGCGTTGGGCTACATGTTCACGGTGCTCACTCTAACCTGCAATGTCAGTTGAGGGTTTAGAGCAGTGGTTCTCAACCTGGGGTCCCCAGATGTTTTTGGCCTACAACTCCCAGAAATCCCAGCCAGTTTACCAGCTGTTGGGATTTCTGGGAGTTGAAGGCCAAAAACATCTGGGGACCCCAGGTTGAGAACCACTGGTTTAGAGGTTTCTCAGCACTTGGAACTACAGCCTCTTTGTGGAGGCGGGAGGCTGTGTAAGTGGATACCTCCGCCACATACACACATTTTCACTTTTATTATTTTATTATGTAAATGTAAATTATGTAAATCGATATAGATGAAGATGCCCCTGGTTCTATTTTCTTTTGTGTTTTTCAAAATTCCATTATCTTCCTACATCTCTTTTGTCTCATCAACTCCATGCATGGACTGAATTTCACCTTCTGTGTTGACAATTTCATCACTCAGCAGAACCTGTTGAATAGTAAAGTTTCAACTGCTGCTGAATTTTGTCACTGCTCAAGTAGCCCAGGGGTAGATTGGCCATCTGTATAAGTACAAGGCATGGTATGGATTTGTCAATGCTGTGGAATGATAGCTGTGTGGATGTCAGTCTCTTATAAAAGGCCATGCATAAGTTATGAGGAAAAAGTCCCCTGCTTGATGCCTCAAGTAGAAGCATTTTTCATAGCTTTCTTGTACAACTGATCATACTGTTGCAGGCGCCAATTCAACCACAAAATGTATTATTTGACTTTGAGTACTGTATTTCCTTGTACATTGATTTAAAGATTCCATCATTGATCGCTTGATTAAAGTCCATACCTAATCAACAAAGGTTTTTAAAAGTGTGGTAACTCTAAAAGTAATATTTGCTTTAAGAGGCATGTCACAGTCTCTTGCATCCAATATTAATTTGAAGTGACTATGATTATTTCTACTAGGAGCTGGATATTTAACCTAGTAAACATCTATAATTCAAGGGTGTTTGGAAGTGTTTTGTTGTCATGCTTGGCAGTTTGATAATGTCATACAATCAGGGCTTCTAGTGATGAATATTCATGATATCCTTGTTACTGTGCACATTGTACACGAATTAACCTACATGTTTTGGTTATTACATGATCATGCAGAGTCTTTGTTTAGGGCCACATTGTCAGGGATAAAAACTTTTAATGGTGTGCTAGAATCATCCTTCTATATATGTCTGTGAGAGATCCCTTCTAAATTGTATTTTTGCCATTTATTATGTTGTACACTGCTTTGAGTCTCCCCAGGGGTGAGAAAAGCAGTATATAAATGCAACAAATAAACAAATAGGCAGGTCCTGCATGACGTATCTCGTAGACCAGGGATCCTCAAACTTTGCAAACAGAGCCAGGTCACAGACCCTCAAACTGTTGGAGGGCAGGATTATAATTTGAAAAAAAATGAAAGAATTCATATGCACACTGTACATATCATATCTGTAATGCAAAAAACACTTAAAAACAATACAATAATTAAAATGAAGAACAATTTCATCAAATATAAAATTATTAGTATTTCAATGGAAAGTGTGGGCCTACTTTTGCTGATGAGATAGGATTGTTGTTGTTGTTGTGTGCTTTCAAGTCATTTCAGACTTAGTTTGACCCTGAGCAAGGGCTGGGTAAATGACCTTGGAGGGCCGCATTCGGCCCCCGGGCCTTAGTTTGAGGACCCCTGTTTTAGACTATCCATCTCTAGGTGTATATACAGCGTAATAATTATGAAGTCGTCATTTTGTATGGCAAAATTGCAGTCTCCAGACCAGTAATCTGGAGAATAGGTTGGCCATTTGAGAGAGAGAGAGAGAGAGAGAGAATGCCTTCACGTTGTCTTTGACTTATAGTGACCCCATTAATGTCATAGGAATTCCTTAAATCAAGGAAAATTTGGAGATTTTTTCGTCAGTTCCTTCCCCTGAATAATTGCCTGGTTTTTGTGGCCAGTCTCCCATCAAATACTAACCAGGGCTGACCCTAGTTAGTTTCCAAAATCAGCTAGGATTTCGTGCCTTTAAGGTATTCTGATCCTATAACCTTAATTTTATTTTTTTTCTGTTATTTCAGAGAAAGAAGATGAGTGAAACTAGTGCAAAATCTGGCCAATCCCTACCTGGCAAAAAAGACAAGGATGTCTCTGAGAAAAGAGGACGAGGACGGCCCAGGAAGGAGCCTCAGGTTTGTACATCGCTTCTTTTATTGCTGTGATAAGAGAAGCTTTTGCATGCAGGAAAACAGATACTGCTTTTTGTTAGCTGTTGCTAGAAGTAGCTATGACTTAGCAAAATGGGAATGCAGGAGAGAACTACCATGGTGCAAGCAAGGTTATTACTGATACCAAGTGAGACGTCAGGATCAATAGGTCATTAAGTTTACATAGTTAATGAAAGCAAGTCCTCTGGGAAGAAAGGCTGTTTTGCCTCATGTTGACGTAATCACAGAATGATGAGTTTTCCCCATATGACTAATTCCATAGTGTTTAAATGGGTTCCTTGTATCTGCAGATATCAGAATGTTTATTATCAAATGTATTCAGAAAAAAACCTTATCATTTAAAGGATACTTGACCTTTGCACAATGATATTGTTAGCTATGTACCTTAGAAGCTGGTTTTGCTCTCAGTTAGTTCTTCTGATCCTCGTGATATGGAGATTTTTTTTTTAGCAAAATGGTACCAGCTCTGATGCCCTTTAAGATTTGTGAGTCATATTGGCTCATGTGATGTGAACTTGATTGCTGAAGAAGTTTCACAAGCCTTTTAGTGTCATTATTCCATTCTTTGAACTCATTGTAGTCTTTGACCTCTTGACTCTCCCTTTACAATGGTTTAGTTGTTGGTTAAGGACTTCGGTGTTGCTTGAAGCTGTTGGGGAAGGCTGCCCATGACAATCTTTGATGCCTTACTTTTCGTGGGGACCAAGACTAAGGCAAGAATTGAGAAAGTGCTGTCCATAGATTGCATGCATCTCCCAAATCTATTTTTGTAGCTTCCCAGCAGAGTCTTCCTCAGAGACAATTGAATCTCCTATACATAACCATAATATCACTCAAAATGTAATATGAGTTTGACTTTTCCTCCTCCCAAAATGCTTCAGACCAGACAAAAATGAAATTGGAAGTGACAAAACATTACTCCTTGAGTAATAGGGACAAAAATTAGCAATCATGCCCTATGAAATTGCCAAACTTTTGATAAACTATGGGTGAGTTTCTGTAATAAAAAAAAAATAGAATCTTCTCTAGTCCCTCCAGGTCAGTTGCTCACATATGTTGTGTTGATGGGGACATCCATAAGAAAGGGAAAGATGGAGATAGCCTCCTTATTATGTGTAGTTCTAGCTTGGGTACCCGACTGTGCCTGGTTATTTGGAAAAGGCATTGTTTGTTTTGGGGAGAAAGGTCAAATCATTTAGTTCATTAGTAGCACTATTTATTACAAAAAAGTCAGGTTTTGGTTGTTTATGAAAGCTCCCATTAAAAATATATAACAATATGAGTGAACTACAATTCCCAGAATCGTGGGTCAATCCTCTCCAAACTCCAGCTGTATTCACAGTTGGCCATATTGGGTCTGTGTGCCAAGTGTGGTCCAGATCCAATGTCGGCTGGGTTTAGTTCTCTCCGGGTGCAGGAGAACTACAACTCCAATGTGGGTGGGTTTGTCCTCCCCCAAACCTTTTCAATATGTTCAGTTAGTCACCAGGGTACTGTGTGCCATGTTTGGTCCAGATCCGTTATTTGTTGAGTTCAGAGTGCTCCGGGCACAAGGTGGGTGAACTAATCCCCAAACCTGTTGTTCCATAGGAAAGGGTTTAAGGGATCATGCAAATTCCACAGCAATGCAGAAAGAAAGGAATCCTGGGGTGGGATCATGCAAATTCCACAGCAATGGAGAGAAAAAGGAATCCTGGGATATCCATTCTGGAGGAAAAACAAGAAATCCAGGATAAAAGGGTCCCCGTATGAAAGCCTTCACTTGGGTGGTAGGCAGTATCATGTTTGTGGAGGACATTGGCAAGGCTCTTTGACATGTTTATGGGGCTCACTATAACCTGCAGTGTCCCTGGAAGCACTGTGGGTTAAAGCTGTTTCTGGAGGCTGGAGGCTGTCTGTGTAAGTGGACACCTCTGCCACATACATATATACACATTTTCACTTTATTATGTGTATAGACTATAGATGTTGGAAAGCTGTATTTCAGACAAAATTAGTTTCAATAAAATTTCTTTCAGTATGCCCTCTCTATTTGTATTACATAATTTTACTTGTCTGCCCCTGCCATATCGGGTTTGCTTCGAGGCATGCAAAATATGCTTCCATTGTCCTGATTACCGCCCATACACTTAAAACTAGTTTTGACTTGATGTTGATACACTTTGTATTGAACTAATTACTTCTGGAGCCATTGGCCACGGTTGCGTTCATCCAGGTCTTGCAACCCTAACTTATGACCCCTGTTAATAGAATTACTGTTGAGTCTTAACATGAAGCTATAAGCTCAAAGCTGTCCTCTCCCATTTTTTCTACTTGGTCTGAGACACAGCTGCCACTCTCTGGTTCTTCCATCTGCCTGAGTTGGTAGAACTAGGCATTTGCTTTGATGAAGGATGAGACGGGGCTGCTGGTGTTAGATTACGGATTGGCTATTAGCTGCAGCTATAAACAGAATGCGGCAAGGAATTAGGAACAGTTTCTGTGTGACACTTAACTTGGCAGAAATATGTAAATTACACATATTGTTCTCCAGCTGTTAAGTTTTCAGGGTGTATTTTTGTGTGAGGAGGCAAAGCTCCCAAATAAATAAATTTGCCTCTCTGTTCTCTCGAAAAAGTGTTGCACTCTAGCAGAGCAAGTTCTTAACATTTCCAAACTCATTTAGCAATAAATCTCATTCAGTAAACCATTTTATACTTTAATGCACTTTAGTAGTCAGATTTTATTACGAAGTAAATGTGTTTGATGAGATATTATGCTTTTTTAACTAATTATTTTGTTTCACATTTTCTTATTAGTTATTATAAGTTTATATTGAGGTCGTTTTATGTATTGGTTTCATTTGGTTTGTCTGTCTTCATTGCAGCATTGAATGTTTGCCACTTTTTTGTTTGGGAACTGCCCTAAGTCCCTTCAGGGAGATAGGGCAGGTTATAAATAAATAAATAAATAAATAAATAATCATCATCATCATTTCCCTTTTGTTTCCACCTTCAAAAAAATCTATCAAAAATTTGAGCTGTACTTTTTGATCTGCCAAAGACCTTTGTGCACTGATCATTTCAGTTTGGCTTCTTAAGAGTAGATCCTTGCTTTTTTACTTTGAACTGGGGAGGAGTTAAACTTTTCTGAGAACAGTTAAGGATCTTGTTCATTTTTCTGACAAGGTCAGGCTGTTTCCATTGGAGTGCCAATATTGATTGTGGGCAGGCTCTGTAGGAAAACCGTGTAGCCTGCATTACTCAAGATGTGACATGAGTGACACTGTTATTTCAAATATTACAGGAGTATTGACAAACAAATGGCCCTCCAGGTATTGGACTCTGTCTCTCATATCCAGGATAGCCAGTAGACAGGGATGATGGGAGAGGCAGTCTAGCAATACCTGTTTAGTATAGGATACACATTTTCCATAAAGAGAAATTGACATACAAGGGCCCTTTCACACTATAATGGCCATGGCATCATGGCACCTGAAGTTTAAGGAATGGCATTTAGAATTCTCTGCCAGGCAGTTCTAGCATCTCACCAAATTGCAAACTCCAGGATTTCATAGGGAAGTGTACTGATAGTTAAAGTGGAATTATAGTTCTGTAATTGTGCGGTGTTAAAAAGCTCAAGTGTAAACTGATTTGAGTTTTGTGTAATGTAATGGTTCACCAGGGCTTCTAAGTGGGATTAGAAGGAACTGAACCTGCCCTGTGCTAGTCTGGGAGGATGTCTGTTCTTTGCTTTTCTTCCTTGCCCTGTTGCTGACTGCAGTGCTTATTCTTTTTAGCAAGAATCCAGTGAACCACCACCACCCAAGAGACCACGTGGCAGACCAAAGGGGAGCAAAAACAAGTCCACTTCAAAGGGAAGGGTATGTATCCTGTGGGGTGAACAATATATTTGAAATCATCTTCAGTCACATATACTAGTACAAGATAAGCCAAAACTCACAAAGGGGCATGATGCTTTAATAAGTTTGTGATAATTATTTTTCTTTAGTTCGCCTTTTAAAAAATATTTTTAAAAGACGACCTTGGAGATTTAAAAAGGTAAAGGTTTCCCTTTGACATTAAGTCTAGTTGTATCCAACTAGGGGGTGATGTTCATCTCCATTTCTAAGCTGAAGAGGCGGCATTGTCTGTAGATGCCTCCAAGGTCATGCAGCCAATATGACTGCGTGAAACGTTATTACCTTCTCACCAAAGCAGTACCTATTGATCTACTTAGATTTGCTTGTTTTCTAACTGCTAGGCTGGTAGAAGATTGGGTTAACAGAAGGAGCTCACCCTGCTCCCCAGATTCGAACCAACTTTTTGGTCAGCAATTTCAGCAGCTCAGCTGTTTAACCCGCTACCCCAATGAGATTGACCATGCAAAAATTCACAACGAAACAGCAAAGACAACTTGTGAAATTTTGCTATCAAAACCAACAGTCATTCTAACCCAGCAAGCATTTTGTCACCATCACGATGTGAGAGCTTCTCCAAGCAAATCAATGAGTAGACATTTGATTGGTTAATTTTAGGAACAGGGTTCAGTAAGCAACCTTCCATGGACGGACAGACAGTGCCTGGTTAGGAACGAAGCAGCAGTTGGTCATGTAAGGGGAGTGTCACAAAAGACCTGAGCCATGTCAACACAAAGGCAGTCTGAACAGGTTGGAGTCATTCCAGTGACCCAGTGTAAATGACTATAGGGATGCCCCTAGAGTGCTTCCTGAGCAAACAACTTTTTTCCAAGGGAGAAAGAGTCTAAATCATTCTTACTACATTGGATTATTTGTTGTGACATTGTCTTGAGTTTGGATCCCCACCTCTAAAATAGACCTCTTTTACCTGGGGAGATGACCAGGGCAATAGACACGATCGCTCCAGAACGTCCCCTCTCAAGTAGCCGAGCCAAACCAGC